TCCCTCAGCCCATCTTTCTTTGTCCTTCTCATGTCTGGTCAACACCACGTGCTACAACCTCTGCCCTCATCCTGCCCGTCCCACTAGATCCCCCTCCTCCTACCCTTCTTTTGGCCATCAGCCCAGCTCCTCACTTTCACTCACTTTCTATCCATCTCCTCTTTTTTTTCTCCCTCTGATAAACTGGGCTTCCTTTCAAGTGTTTGCAGTCAAGCGATGATGGATTAGTAAGGTTCAACGGGGGAGTCAAATCTGCCTCAGCATCACAAAACATGTTTTCCTAACCAGTTTGAACAAATGGTGTTTGTCGACGAGGCAATTAAGCATTAAATAGTGGAAACACATTTGTCAGATTAACCTGAAAGGATTGGGAAGGCTTGGCAATATGTGCAACTGCTTAACCGTCACTTCATATACGGAGGGAGACAAATCTTTCCCTCTAGTTTATCTTCTGACCTTTTTCTCCATCTGATGAGGTCAAACAGACCCGGAGAAGATACGGCTGACCCAAAGAAAGGTTAAGGTCATTTCAAAAACGTCCAATATATAAAACATCAATCTCCCAGAAATGTCAAACTTGCTGTTTCTGGGTTGTGGCTCTCATACATCACTGATGTTTGTTGGATCGCTTACAACAGCTGACTGTTCAGAAGGTCATCGTCGTCATCATCTCAAACTCATTTTAAATTATATGTGGATTTAAAAAATAATGAAATCTACATTTGAACTTGAACAAGAGGCTTACTTGGCTGATGTGTTTCTCTGTCTCTCGTCACTGTCATGCTTTTATACCATCCACAAACTCTCCCAGTGACACTCTTCCTCCCCTGCACTTTTCCTGTCTGTGGAAAGCGTACGGGTGCTGCCTTATGTCTGAAGCACTGAATCTTACGCACGCAGACAAAAATAGACGAGGAAAATGGCTGAGAAAATCGAAGTAGCTCCAGTGTCAGGACACAGAATCCGGCCACAGAGGGTTGCCTGTCTCCAGCTCTAAAACCTCATAGCATGACTCTCCTCCACAACAACAACAACAACAACCACAACAACGGGGAAAACAGCACTGCACGGTCCTTTCCTGTGAGGGACTCGGCTTCCACTCGACTGTTTGATTCTTTGAATAATTATGGTTAAGTGAGGTCTGATTTTTGTTTTTCTCACACTAGCGTGGTTGACAACAAGAGCTCAGCATTAACACTTACACAAGTGAACAAAAGGCCCTAAAGCTCCAGACACAAAACAACTGAACAATAAATTCAAAGCAGTCCGGTGCTGTGAGTCAGTCCTCGTGGCAATTACAGCCCAAATGCTTTGCCCAAAACAAAGCCAACTCTGAGGGTGTTCAAAACCCTCATAGAACATGTGAGTCAATCCCGACAAAAATATGCTAAAGGAACAAGAGGTGAATCAGCAATTTGCAACAAGTGCTTTGACAAGCTTGTAGAGCAACACGTGCAGCTTTGATCTGATTCCCCTGCCTGTTGAGTGACATGACATGCGTTACAGAACTGCTATGAACACAAAAGGAAATTGATTTTCTATAGCTGGGCTAAGTTTAGATCCAAAAATGTAGTATCAGGAAAAGTTCAGAGCTCAGGTTCAAATAAATCCTTCTCAGTAAAGGTGTGGAGAACTTCATCATGGTGTTTAGAATAAAGGCGCCCAGGTTAGAGAATGATTGTGGTCAGAAATGCAAACATTTACTTTACATTGGAAATGGTAAATGAAGAGTGGCCGCCAATCCATCCACCCCAACCTCCTCCCTGTGCTGATTTTGACACTCTGTAACAGACATGGGGCATAAAGTAAATTAAGAACTACACTCTGCATAACTCAGTGGAAATATGGTAACAGGTCACAATGAATAATATGAAAAATTCCATCTATACTATATATACATATATATCAAGATGTATATAAGTCTATCTCCGGCCATTTGTCTAATCTGTTTCAACACTGCACGGGTCAGCGATGAAACAGACTGGACTGGAATTATCTTGTGAGCTAGACTGAGATCATTTGCTAGTGAAATTATTACAGCTACTAGAGGTTTAGCTTCGTCATGCTACAGTATCATTTTTCGGGTCTCTCTTTTTTAATGGAATATCTGGAATTGTGCGAACGTTTATTATTTATCTATTCATTGCCTTTACAGTGTTAAGTACTCATAGTGTTACTTAAGATGGTACTTTTATGGATTGTTTATACACTACTCTGTGTTTAATCACTGGTTATTATTAAGCTCTGGCTCTCTTCCACAGTGTGTTTTTGTCCCGGCTCCCTGCCCTCTGAGCTGCAGAAGGTTTCCTCCTATTAAAAGAGTTTTTCCTTCCCACTTTCCCAACATCTTTACCTTACAATATAAAGCGCCTTGAGACGACTGTCTCAAGGCACCACATAAATACATTTGGATTGAACTTAATGGGTGTTTGACTGTTGTTAATATATTTCTTTTGTGCCTTACAGAATTAGCAAAAGTGAAAAAAATGTTCAACAAAAAAAAAATGTATGCAAATAAAAGCACCCACACGCAGCCTGGTGTCACCCGCTGCTCTGGAGGGATCAGCAGAGCGTCGCGAGTTTATGGGATTTGTAGTGTTTCTATGTGGCAGAGCATGGCATAAACACAACATTGGCAGCATTCTTAACACGATGGGTTAATCTCCTGTATATGCAGGTCGTGGTTTTGTATGTGTGTGTGCTGCTGAAGTGTATTCACAAACAAATTTGTATGCAGCCTTATCAGATGTTTAAAACATGGCCAGAGGCATGCTGGGTAGAGATGTTTATGCTCTTGACAAGTCTGAACTCTTTTGTATACACAGACAGGCTAAGGCTTGAGTGTCTTTGTGTGTGTGTGGTAACAGCTGAAAAACAGTGTGTGTGCTTTCAGGTGTTTGTTATTGTTGAGCATGTGTTTGTGTAATGGTTGGACTATGTGAAGGAGTGTAAAATTTACTGTATATGTTAATGTACATTCACACAAATGGTAACTCTCTGAGTGAGTTACTTAGTTTACTCTAAGTGTGCTCTGTTTACACAAAGAGCGGAGACGAGTAACCTAAGCAGAGACAAGTCCCAACCTCACACTGTCCCACTGTTACCATATGTCAAACTGCGTGTCTCAGATTTACACCTTTTTTCTTTTCCTAACAAATACCTAATCCCCTAAGGGCCGAGCAGGAAACACAGTGGCTTCATAAGAAAGAGAGTCTCAGATGATCTGCTCGAAAACAGGGTGGTGCAGTGAAAGCACGCCGGGCTCGTAACTCATGGATCAAAACATTTCTTTGTTAACTGTTTGTCTTGGCAGTTGATTAGAGATTTCAAACACTCGAGGAACTCCATTAGCAATTTAGTGTTCTTTGGGTAAACTCTCCCTTCCAAGAACACCCATGAATTTCAAACTCCAAGCCTCTAATTTTTAATGCAGACTTTTCACGAAAACCTTGCAGTCTCAAGAGTATTAGGTTTGTGGGCTGAAGTCAGGGCCAAGGAGGAGCCAGTTTTCTGCAGAGGAGTGTTTCACACTCGATACAAGCCCACTTCTTTTATGATGGTGGAAATTAGATAAAGGAAGCAAGTTCTAACTCTCATTCGGTTTCCTCAGGAATCCAAACATCTGTCCGTGGCTCAAGGATCTTCATCTGGACTGTTATTGCAGACACACCCGTGTTAGATGACATTTAATGAAGACCCAAAGCCATGTCCTCTGTAATTCATTGGCAGCAGAAATTCAAAAATATTATTTATTCAACAATTAATTTCACTTTGTTTATGCAGCACACTGCGAGGTTTATGTGTGCGAAATGTGCAGTAAAAACAAAACCGATTTGCTTCATCCTCCTACGCCTTCCTTTTTTTAAAACCTCACCATGCTTTCCTCTTTCTACCATCCACCCTTTCCTTTTCATAACTTCCAATCAAAATATGAAATGACTAATTCTGAGCTGTATGGGCAGAGGCAACTTTAAAGAACATAATCCCACCCGCCCTCCACAGAGGACTAAAGGTGAAGTAGGAGTACATGAATATTAAGTTTCTACTCAAATAAAATAGGGAGCTTAATTTGTAAAAGGCATCCTCTACATAGTTTCTGTACTCTCCACCACCAAATTATAATGGTAAAGATAGAGATACCCTGGTGCAAGCATCGGACCTACTGCTACATCCCCTACTGTGCGGGGAGCTAGCAGTAGCAATGAATTAACAGGCTGTATCATCAACTGCAGTTATTTACTAAAGCTTTCTACTGAGGCACAGTTACATCGATGTTGAAATGTTGATGTCTTCTCTGAATAAATAAAGATTTCTGTAGTAAAATATTTAAATCGCTAATATTGTAGCTCCGATCTCAGCTAAACATAATTTCCTTAGAGATCAATAAAGTATTCTGATTCTGATGAATCAACCCAGTTACTGTGGTGGTGTCTTTTATTGATGTTTTAAAGCTTGCTGATAGCCCATTAACATTAATGCCACCGTTTTTTAAGAGAAACTCAGAGTTGTGCATCTGCACATCTGTGAGCGACAAATTCACAACGGCAGCGTCCAAGTTCACAAATTCAGCATCTCGCACCTCTCACAGACCTGCTGCTGCACGCACCCACACTCAGAGCTGACCGGAGCACTCTGATGTGAAAATCCTCGATAACGAATAAACCCATTGCAACGAATGTTGCCGTGGTAACCAAGACTGAGGCACGAAGACAAACCCAAGGTGACCGACAGGGCTGTTGGTCACCGTGGTAACAGTGGAGCTATGAAGGCATTTACTGAGGCAGTGGTTTTTAAGTTTCCTTAAGTGTCTGCGAACTCACATGAAACACACACACACACACACACACTGGCTGAGTGCCTGAACTCAATTCCTCTTTTATGAAACATTCAGGGACAGACCTTCAGCTGTACGACCAGCGGTTAAGACCTGTCGGATGTGATTTTGTTTTAGCTTTAATGTGATGCGTTTTGCCTTTTGATGCTTTCATGTGTTTACTCACGGAGCTGGTCGAAATGTGTCTGTAAGCCATCTGGTCCTGGGACTGAACAGACCATTCGAGCCTTCTGGAAAGTGCTCCACTTATTAACTAAACTCCTCTGGCCTCCGATGTCGTTCTACATGAACATTACAAAGAACTGAATTAGATCTGCTATGATTACAGAAGTAGCAAACATACAAACATATGAGCATTGCATATTTAAGCTGGCAAAAAGATTCATGCACACACAGTAACATTGGCATGAAGCTCGCCACGCTGCCAAGACTGCTTGCAATTATGGACAATGACTCCCACCCCCTCCATAACACACAATGTGAAGAGCAGTTTCAGCAACAGGTTCCTTTAACCTCGCTGTCTGAGGGACGTTACAGGAGGTCGTTCCTTCCCGCTGCTATCGGGCTCTTTAATTCATCCACACCTCACCGCACCCTGTCACTTTTGTACATGATGACATATATTTGAGCACATGCTTTTCCTTTGATATTTATACCTATATCTCTATATTTATCTATTTATCTTAATATTTATCTATCAATATCTGTGTTTCTACACTCTTTTTAAACGAGTGTTTGATGTTTATTGTATATTTGCTGCTATGACAACTCAATTTCCCTCTGGGCTTTATAAAGTCTCTCTGATTCTAACAAAGCCATGAATGTGCAAACATGTCCACACAGAAAACACACACAACAGTGGAAGACGCAGTGATTGTGACAAACATAAACAGTCCCTCATACATTTCAGTGATACACAGATACACAGTTGCCTGCTCTAACACACACACTGACCAAACAGCACGTACATACCATCCCATGGAGGTAAACGTGTTTATGTAAGCTACATGCAGACGTGTTCTGATGAGAGTGTCCAAACTGCACAAACCCTATCTATGCCAAACAAACATGTCGCATACCTTGCACACACGTGCCACTCTGGAGTAGAGCACCTTCCCAGCAGCACCTTCCGCCTCCTGAGCGCGCTCGGTGAAGAAAACATAAACCTTATCATCTTCTGGATTATCAGTTTCAGACAACGGCGCTACCCGCACGAACTGGGCATCTGGAGGAAAGTACCACAGACACACACACACAGGCAAATTATAAGAAATCAAATGTAATACAGTCCTACACTGATACAAATGTAATTTGCAGCGCAAGGAATAGAGAAAGAGCAAAGGGCTGATTAGGGAGAAGTCGAGTTTCCAAACAGCAGGGAGTCAGTATATATCGCCTTGTTATCAGCAACAGACGTCGATACACAGGAGCCTGATAAAACACCAACCGGGTGTGCAGGAGATGATTTTAGAGATGCTCAAAGATATTCAGTCTACTTCAGAAAATTCAGTTCACAAAGTACACACACTGAATGTGCTGCACACGTTAACCGTGACTTGTGATGTTTTCTTGGCGGAGAATTTGACAAAATTTTGTGTTTTAGTGATTGTGTTATCGTAAGGAGCACATTCTCAACTAACTTCTAATGTCAGACGCAGTTCTGAGTTGTTCAACACAAAGGTAGACTTCAAAAAGGAAGTGGTGCTTTTCTGCTCTTACCCTGCAGCCAGGTGGAATCGTACTGCTCAGTGCGGATGACACGACGGTTGCCAAGACTACGGAAAAAGGCAGAGTCCCGGCTCATGAAGTCTGAGGTGATGCCGGCATACAGCTCTCCATCTACACAGAATACACAACAGTATTCTCATCAGTAGTCATTGAAAGACATCCAAGTCATGGCTCTCCTGTTTTAGACATCCTCTAGAAATTATATATAACTTCCACAGTTTGATGAGTTTTATAACAGCAAAGCATCACTTTTGCTACTAACACAAACCCATTTTCCATCTAGTTTTTCTTTGATAAAACACCTAATTATGCACATTTAGATGATTCCTTTCCACCTAACGGTTATATTTTGTTGTAGAGAAAATAAAGTGCACGATGGTGCGTGTACTGTTTATTAAAGGTGAGGTTTAAAGAAACAGTCAACTTACCAACGACTGCAGAGGCCGTTTTCTGGAATGGATCGTAGGGACATTTGCCTTTCCCGCACTCTGTCTGGCCGTAGGAGAGAGTCTGATGCTCTGACTGTCAAAGAAATCACAGACGTCACTCACACAGAAAGAAGACAGATCACAAAGCTGTCCTAATTTATATTGCAATCTCAAGTAGTTTATCCACTGATGCAGCAAACAATCAGAAGGTGGATTAATCCCGACCTCCACCTGTCCATGTGTCAGAGCATCCTCAGGCAGGATACTGAACCCCGAGTTGCGCCTGATGTCACTGTCAGTTTTATTTCTACAGCACATGTAAGCAACAAAGTAGACCAAAGTGCTTTACAAGATAAAACCACAGATCAATATAATAAATACAGCAGAATAAAACACAAAACAAACAAATATGAATTATTATTATGAACTAAAACAAAGACAATGCAACATAAAAAACCTACACACATGCATAAAAAGTACCAGTGCATGTAGCACCATTTCAGCGAGCCCAACTACCCTGCCACACATGCACTCAGTGAGCACCTAACTGAGGGTAATCGGGCTAAGTGGAGGGATTTTAAAATGTGTGAAGCTCAATGTTAAACCAGTCAGCACCATCGGCACCTCTAAGAACCATGTCTGAACCTCTGCTCTGATCTTACATGGTCTTTCATGGGATTAACTGTTCTCTGACACACACACACACACACACACACACACACACACACACACACACACACACACACACACACACACACACACACACACACACAACTAAGTGAGATGAGTGAGAAACTTCTGGGAAACAAACGATAACCCACATGTGTCATTATGATGAGAAATTACACACCGACAACAGCAGGCAGGTTCGACCTCTACAGTTACATTCACCATCCATTGCATTTGACATACAAATATCAAATAACATATCTAAGGTGTCTGGTAGCCCACACAGTGCAGCATCAGTGACGAAAGGAAATTTGACATATCACAAGGTGAACCCTGGGGGATATGTGGGCATAGGGGCAGACACCACATGATATTTCAGCTGCTCGTAGGCATGCATATGGGGGCTGGAACTCGAAGTCTGAAAACAGACATATTGGTGGGTGGTAGGAAAATCAAGGCATCCAATACATATATTTCTATTTTTTAATGCAGACAGCCCTCAAAACCTGGATAAATGAGTAGAGCATCAATGACGAACGTTAATTTGACACATCGCAGACTGAACACTATGCATCCACGGGCAGCACTGCAGTTAACATCAAAGTGCTGCTTGTATAAAATTGCAGAGAATGGTCCAACTGATTCTGATTTTGAACCAAAATGGAAAGAGTAATCTATGTGACTTTGAAAGAAGAGGTAACTGTTGTTGGGGGGCAGATGGCTTCAGCCACAAAAATTGCTCGAGTGGCTGCTGTTTCAGAAGGATAAGTGACTAAAGTGGCATAAATGTGGGAACTACATCAGCAGACAGTTTGGAAATTACAGTTGACTGCACACGTGATGACCATGATGGTTCTGCATTAGTGTGATAGGTAAAGAAAAATGTGAGGAACAAAAAGAGGAGCTTCTTCAGATTTCAAGGAGAGGGATTTGATAGCAGGGCTTCGGCGAATATCGGGTTTTGATGGTCTGCTTCATTTTTACCAGACCAGAAAGCTAGCAGTCTTTTAAACACAACCCATTCTTCAGCTTTATTATTTTTAGGAGCAGCAGATTTAAGTCTGGTAGAGCTGACGCCTCTACAGATACCATTTTTTTATCCAGCAAAGTCGCAAAAGAAAATAAAAATACATATTTTGCACCAGCATACATTACCTGTATAGTGTATGTAATTGTGTCTGTAGCATTACCTGATGGAAGACGCTGGTGGCTATGAAAGCACAGCGGGGGTTGAAGGCCCCGGTGCCGCACACATACAGGTGAGTCTGGTTAAAAGGCTGCAGAACACGCAGGAAGTTCGCACACTCCAGCTGGACAGAGAGAAACAGGGACCATAAAGTGAGGAATAATGGATGACACACATTATTTTGTACTGATGCTTAACTGTTTTCTATTACTTGTTTGAATATCAAACAATATGACTTGCACTTATTAAACTCTGGCTCAACTGACAAATTTTCACATCTTTCATCTTGAGCTTATTGTGAAGTCAAGAAGCAAAAAAGTAGTCCTAAAACTTCAGATGTGACCGACTGTTCAGCACGCCCCACCAGACGTCTGCCAGTACTTGGATCAACTGAATCTAGATATGCCTGCCTGCATGAAAACTGTCTTGTTTGTTTACAGTTCCCAAATGAATAAGATACATTCAGCTTTAGTTCTGCCCTTGATGGTAATCTATCATCCTACTGTATTGCTTTATTGCTTCATAACTCTAGACAGTTCTTGTAAGGTATTATCAAATGGCAGTAGGGAGTAGAGAAAGGCTGAAAACGGCTGATGTGGTTTGACACCGATTCATATCTGCACGCAAATGTGTCCGAATGTAATTCTTTTCCCCGCGTTGCTTAAGTCAGGGTAACGCGGTTACTTACCCAATCTTAGCGTGTTTGCGTGTGCATCTGCGAGTGTGCGTTTGATTACCTCTGGATCCTTCCCAGCCATGAGACATTCTTGGACGCGGTCCGGACTGGCTGGCCAATACAGCTACAGAAAGAAGAGAGGGGGAGAGAAAAAAGAGAGGGACAAAGAGATTTCAGAAATGTTTTTATTGCTCACTCTACATTTCCGATAAAGGGCTTCGGGGGATTGGCAGGTGCTTTATGAGGGAGCGTGGCAGGGATAGTCAACAGAACATGACTAATCTAGAAGAAAGAAGGAAATGATTTTCATACCTCTTAACTCCAAACAGATAACAGTCAGCTTTAGGGAGGAGAAAAGAAAAAGCCAACTGGCAGCATTGCTGACTTCTGATAATGAGCCAAACTGCCAGAGCAGAGTACATGACTACAAGCATGACTAACCGACATACAATCCTGGCCATGCCTACACACTGTGAATGTGCACTGCAATGCAGCTATTATCACTCATCTAAATAACTAAATGACTCTTGATTACAATTATACATGGCTGACAGTATTTATTCTGACTTTAAACCCTAAACATCGTGCTATTATTTGATTTGTGCAGTTATAACATGATGTTATTATGTTATCTTGCATCAACAGAACAACTGAAGCAGCCACTTTAAAGGGTCCAAGATGAACCAAACGGGATTCTGGCTCCACAATTTCCTCTCTGTTGTGGTCACAGTTAGTTTCTTCTTTAACCAGTAGTTCTTATTGGACACGACAGGCTCTAAGACAGGGAATCAAACTTTCGGTGACCGAGTTCCAATTCAGGAAGTTAATGACTTAGGCCACATTAACCTGTGTTCTCAGGTCTCAGCAGTTCTCAGAGTTTTTCTGAAGATCAAAAAAGCTCATGACCCATGCCCCACATTTTTTATTGATAACAATCATAAAGACTCCATGTTGGATTTTACCTAAACAAAGATGAACGTTATTAGTGCAGCAGCATCAGCACAGCCTTTATGAAGTTCCCTAAACCCCCCCTCCCCCAAAACAAGTCATAGTTTAGTTTAGTTTCACTTCATATTTTTCTCACAGACCTGTAGTCTGCTAAGATGACTAAAAGAAGAATAGCTCTCATAGTCTCATCCTTTGCTGTTATATCATGATATGAACCGGAGATGAATGAAATACAGTCGTGCATTCCTTTCCTGCATCGTGTGGGCTGCCATAAAGCCCACACGATGGATTTCGAAGACCCTGGCTCAGAGGAAGATATATGGTATTTACTTCACTTTGTATGTGAGCTCTTTGATAAGGGCTTCAAGGAGAAAATAAATGACATTGCTCCAAAAAAAAATCTTTCCACACTGTGTAACACACAAATGAGAGAGATCTGTGCCTTTTGTGAAGAGTCAGAGAATAATCGAGATCCACATGTCGGCGTCTCTTTTTTCCCCCCCCCCGTTGTTGTTGTTTAAGCTGTGAGAATCAGTGTGGTGTAATAAACCCCTCAGGTTGCAAAGTTTTTTTCTTTGGGTCTGTTTAGGTTTGGTTGTGTGAGGTCATCCTGGGTTCAGGTAAGATGATCACACATGAAAAGGTACATTTGTAACGTGAAAAATGGATGACTTCACCATTTAACAAACTAAAGCAATCAGAGAAGTGTTTGTCTTGCACTTGTTAGCTTAATCACATTAAACCACACTGTTTGCTTCAGTGTAAACTTAATCAGCGTATAATAAAAACTCTATAATGGAGAATGCTTTCATGTAAAGCCAGTAAGGGAGGAAACAACAGAGGCTGGGATGGTGTGCAGTGAGGGAGAGAGTGCGAGAGCGAGGATGAGGTGAGCCTTAGTGTCAAATGGCTTCAACATGACTAATCTAAATATTTCCCTGAGACAGTCATTCCCCTGGAGAGCAGAACGGTGAGACCGAGATGTAATCGATACAACAAGCGAATGTCTGCACTTGTCGCTAAGTACGTGATACACAAACTGCTGTTCAGGTGTCAGAAGTAAATTCAAGACCTCAACTTCACACTGCATTAGGAAGTAAATGTATGTATAACTTGTAACAAGTGCACTTTATTAATTAAACAAAACACATCTGTGCACTGATTGTAGTTTTTATCTCTCTTTTTTGTATTTGGGGTGAATGAAGATGTGAAGAAGTGACAGGAGCTTGTAGAAAGTGATTAATGACAAATGGCGGTGGTTTCAGGAAACAATTTCTGGATGTACACTAATTGTTCCACGATGCAGTCATTCCCACAGAGGCTGGTGCGGGGCTGAGACCATCAGATTAGATTAGAGACCACAGACCCCGTTTATCTCCGAATACCACACACTGACAGGAACACGGACCACCACTAAGGGAGTCTCAACAGGTAAAGACTGCGGTTAATGGGATTTTACCCCTCTGTAAAAAACATGCTGGTTGTCAGTTTATACGAAACAGAAGATGTAAATGTGGGTTTTTGTAAAAAGGGAACATATTTTAAAAAGTAAAAGGAACAAGGGGGGAAAAAGCTAGAAAAAAATGTAAATTTCTGTACTTTTGGAGTCGTTTTCAGAGCCGAGAGAAGATTCAAAACAGAGAAAATGAAAGGAGAGAAGAACAAATACTGTAAGCAAACAAAAAGCCGCAAACAAACATTTAAACCCCCGGTGACCCTTTGTGTTACAGCAGCTGCAAGCTGTTGACTCACACAGAAAGAATGGCCTGAGTATTTTTTTTTCCCCCGATCAAAGAAAAATGTGATTTAAATGTTATAATAAATTATAAGATCGTCTCTCTAAGCCACACTGATTTTTATATAGCAGAAAAACCGCACGACCACTGTGCATAAGTGTGGGTAAAGTCGGGAGGAGATAAATAAAAACAGGATCCAGATTGTCTCAGGCAACATTGATAAGAAGCTCTGAGAAAATAAACAGAAATGTTGAGAACATGGCACTGAGTGATTTTAACACCGGGGGGGGGGACTGCACACAGGCTGGAAAGGTACAAACAGCCTATAAATACTGGATGTACAAATATGTAACTTAACAGCCCGCACAGAGCTGAGTTATGATTTGACTGTGACTATCTACCCTTATGCTGGCTGACTGCCTGACTGAGTGGGTGGCTGGCCAGCGCAACTGATGGCTGTCTGTCGGTTTCGCTGGTTGTTTTTTATTCTGCTCTTCTACCTGTTTGGCTCTCTGACAGCTTGCATGCACGTCTGACTGATGAGGGTATTGATTTGATCCGGCTGGGCAGGGTTAAGAAAGCCAGCACTGTTCTGTGTCCTTGCTGTGACCCTGAACTCTACCTGACTGGCGAGCCATTAACGTGGCTGTCTGGCTGTCTCGATACCGTGCTAAAGCTGCAGAATGAAACTAGATACTGTAACAAAACTTCCACATCTAACAGCCACCACGAAGGAGCGCCGCGTCTCGCAGCAAATCTTGGGTTGGTCAGAATATTATTGTGGCACTTCCACATTCCTGTGTATTGCTTATGTGCAGGGCAGAGTCTTCGTTTGACTAAGCTTCACTTTACTGATATGTGAAAAAGCTAATCAAATCAAATATTGACCCGCTCACTAGTGTATAAAATCTAGAGATGCGCTTGTGCAGTCTTTGCAAACCAAAAATATGTTGTGCAGCTGACCTCGTGCAGTCGTTTTTCATCTAAAGTTTAGCTGTTCTCGTCTGAAGCATAATACCTCCGTATTGGTGCCAACAGAGGCAATCGTGCCTTTGAGCAGTAAATGTGGAAAGCAGAGGAAGTTAGGATGTAAGAAACGTGCATAAAATAATTGTGGCTTGAATGGAATCCATTACAGTCCTATCTGTATGTGTCTTCTTTTTTAAAGTTTTCTCCCCCCTTCTTTTTTTTAAAGCGTAGCCCCTTCTTTAAGTGTACATTCCCAACTTCTGTACTTTTTCCATTTACCAATTGCTAAACTAAATAATACTAAGTGATCAGGCCAAAACAAATCACCTTCTGCTCAAAAGGTGGAGACATTTTTATCAAATATGGACAGCTTGGCTGCCAAGGAGAAAGCTGAATAGAGGTGGAAATGTGGCACAGCCTCTTTCTGCTTTTTGAACACTGTTTCTGTCTCCATGCTAAATCGAAATGAATGGTAAGTGAATTGTTTGTTCAGCTAAGAACCACAAAACAGGGTCAGAGGAAGAAAAGCGGAGCTTTTGTGCAGCACAAGTAAGGAATTTGACAAAGATAAGAGATTAGAGGGGATATTAGAAGGGTGTGACTTTCCTCTTAAACCATCAGCAATTAGCCCTATTAAGTCTCTGACACATCAGCTATCTCATCTGCTGTCATCTGACTGTGTGTTTTATGTGTGTATTTTGTGTTACATCTCTTGAGTCTACCTTTCCTTAAATGGTAAGCAAATGTGTGCTCGCGTCCTGCGGTTCTAACCTTGCGTGGGTTTTGCGTTATGTCATCCATACTGGTAGACAGAAGGCCATCTTTCATGGCCACATAAAGGCGTCTCCTGTCTTCATCGGGCAGCAGGGAGTGCAGGTCTCCCGCCATCAGGGGTAGCGTGAGCAGCCGGCCATTCTGGATCAGCTCTGAGAAGAAGAAAAAAGGAGAGAAAAAACACAAAATAAGGGTCTCCATTCTTATCAGTTTTTAAAAATATTCAAGGGAATCTGGAACAAAAATGGCATTAAACTGAAAGAAATCTGTTGTTTGCAATAAAAATCTAATCTTTGTCTTATTCATTAGGCATTACTGTATATGAAGAAGTGTTTTCCATCATAGAAAAGGTCCAACAGCCTCCGTGCTTTTTACAGTTTTACTAATAAATGACAAATAGCTTTTAAGTTTTTGCAGACATGTCTGTAAACCGCTGATGACCAATGTGCTAGCAAACAAAGCAATCTCGAGGAGAATTCCATACAGCACTGTTTATGTCTCTGCAACCATTTTCACACTAGCGACTGCCAGAAACCACTTGCAACCATTTGGGGAATATAAATTCTTTTCCTCCCAACTGGTGGTTGTTGGATGGTCACTGACAAATCTAAAGGCCAGTGTGACTGGGGCGAATAAAATATACCTTCCAGTACTTTGATACGCGGGTTTTCCCATTCGCAGTTTGGTTGCAATTGTGTAAAAATCAACAATAAATGCAGGTTTTCAAAGTAACAGACTGTGAGAATTAATAAACCTAACTATGACGCAAATTTTGTCTTAACAGATCATCACTCGGATCATCTTTGAGATAAAGTGACGTGTTGCGCAAAGACACAGACTGTCCCACACCCGCAGCGCCAATCACAAACGGAACTGGCAGTTGTTTGTTTTGCTGCCTCATTTTGTCTTACCAGGTTGGTCACTATGTTCAAACACAGAATACTCTCATGTATCTCTCGTGAATAAACAAACGTAGACAAACAATACTTACACATCTCTAGACAGACTGGATGATAACAACCGGATCTGAAACCTCAGATAATGAGAGCACAGATTGCTTTTTTTAATGATTGCACCATGTAAACTATGAGAACTATGGTGCGGGGAGATCGACTGATTTCAGAACAAGGACAGAAACTGCATGTCTGTCTGTCTCGTGCTAACTTTCATATTTTATCTGCCACGTCTTCTTCTGTAGATCGGATTTGGCAAAACTAAAGCATAAACATATAGGCTTTGCAGCAGCACCAGACATGGCTTCACACATTGGCAGCTCTACATAGCAGTGAGGGGTAGAAAGAGCTTATAAAAGTGGTTCAAACTTTAAAAACAGTAATAGCAAACTGCATACTCTTATTTATCAACCAGGCTCTCCTGCAATGCTTTAAACTGAACTGAGAAGGGATGCACAAAAGCAAATTTCCAAGCTAAATGTTCAAACCGAACCCAAAGACAGATTGGTATATATGGAAAAAGAACAATTCAACTTGCATTTGTCTCGTTGGCAGAGAGCACGACTTTATTAAAACCATCATGCATAACTTTGGATTGTTTGAGCTGTAAGCGTATATGTGGTGCAGTTGGTGAACCACAGCATTTTTTCTTTCTTCAAGCAGTTAAATCTGACCTAACATTGCGCATTGAGATGCATTATACACAACAGCTGTATTTCCACTCAAAGCAGGGGTTTGGGGGGAGCAAAATAATAGTCGCTGTAGTGGGGGAAAAAAACTTCCTAAAAAGTTGGTAGATCCCGTGGGAAATTACCTGATGGAGGCACGGTTAATATAATGTTTCCTAGTGTGGCAGGAGTGTGAATTTGCATTCATAGTTTTGCTACCAATGTAAACTAACTTTGTACAAAGCAAATGCAGAGTTGTAACAGGAAGCTAACTGAATTTTTACTCTGTTTGTACAGACACGGTCTCGATCAGATTTCAGTGTAATCTGATAAAGCTGAAACCTGTTTAACCTTTTTGTCCATTTTGCCAATTTGTGCCAATCTCAAGTTTGAGCAAGCAAGCAAACGCTGTTTTGTAGAGCTCGAAAATGAGAAGGAGGACAGAAAAAGCAAGTGACAGAAGGCAAAAATCCCCGAAACTGTCATACTGCATAAAGGACAATGCATAACATTCAAGACAAAGAAGTGATAAGCAGCAAACTGGGGCCAAAGGTATTTGTCACAGCTGAAGTTAACACTTGTTTGTTCAGGTAACAAAAAGAGTGTTTAAATCTGGTGATACTAACTAGCCACAGTGAGCTGCTGAAAAGTTTTCGTTTAAGTTTATTTCCTCTTTGTTCAGATTGACGAGCTGCAGAAATGCAAATAGCTGAACAAAAGTCTCAGTTTGCACTATAATTCAAACAACTTCACTTTCATTAAGCAGCTCTAAAGTGCAGCTTCAAAGAAAACTTTGCATTTAGGCTAGATTTTGAAGTGGAAGAGTCCTCTACAGGTATTCTGAGCAGCTTTCAGATCAACCTTTGGTACACAAACCAGGGAAATTACATATTTAGCCTGATGTGGAAATGCCTGTGAATTTCCCAGACGGGGCCAAACAATGTGGCTGGGTGATCTCTATGCTATTTGGCCCAGCCTAATGCCAGTACTGACAGAAACACTTGGAAACACCTATTAACTGTATAATACCCTAAAACCAGCATAAATCAAATCATTTGCAATAAAACAGATAGCAAACTGTTGAGCACAGAAGGTGAAATTCCTTAAGAATGAGAGCCCCAGTGTTGCATAGAGGAAGCATTCTGTAGGGCTGACTGTAAGTGGGCGGCTCAGTTAAGGTGCCTTAAATGCTAACATTCATGCAATACAGCTGCTACTTATACTGAACATTGCAGCTCCCATAGATGTGGGTTTTCTCACTGCTGTTAAGCAGGCTTTGGAAAAGTCTTCAGAAGCACACATGTGCAGTCTGAAGTTCCTGTTCAACCATTTCTTGATGTGTTTTTAACTGCAAACAGGCAACAAAGAGTGTGCAAGTCCATCACGCTCAAGTAATTTTACAGAAACTCGAATCAGATCTATTTGGGCCATGTCCAAATTCATCAAAATGGCTAACACGGCGGAATGACAGGTTCCCACAACTGTGTCCAATTAAGAAGTGTCCTGCTGTTAGCCCGTGTGACTTTTGTTCCCAGTTGGCGTGTACAGTCAACTGTCGACTTTCTTGACATATTCAAGCAAGCAAATATTTGTTCCCTTTTTGAAACGGCCACTATTAATGGAGCTGATCAGGAAAGGATTGCACACATTTGACCTTCACTGCTATCGTGCCAGGAAAAAGTCCAAGCTGTCCAAAAAAGATCAAAACTACAGTTTGCCAAAACCAGGTCTGCTGGAAGATTTTGGTCTGAATAGATGAATCTAAGATTATCAGGCCACAGAATCAGCAGACGTTTTTTAAACAAGCATCGCACACAAATTGTAAAGTGTGTTAGAGGGGAAATATTTTTGGGATGCTTCACCGCCACCGGGACTTGGCAGCATGCAGTCATTAATTCAGCTGTGATAACAGGATAGAATAATGTGAGGTCATCTGTCCAAAAGTTTAAACTCAATCAAAATCAGGCCTTTCAACAGAATAGGAGCACAAGCCGATCGGCCATAAAGGTTTATGGAATGGCCTCTTCAAAGCCCAGATTTGAATCATACTGACATTTTGTGGGAGGATTTAAAATCAAATTGAAAAACCTACTTGCAGCTGAAGGAATTCTGACATCAGAGTTATGCAAAACGCCACACAAGAAGTAAGCAGAAAATGCTAGCCTTTGAATCCAAAGAGTAGCACATGAGAACCCTACAGAATACTCCAGTTGTTAATATATTTGTTGTACAAATTACTAAAAAACAGACGGCCTTGAGGTGTTCTTTCCAAATATATTTTCTATAAGTGCATCTGGCTGTTGGACAAAGAAATAAAATGTTTTTGCATAAAAAGGTATTTGTTGTAATGTTGTGTTCACTGTGTTACCACCTGAGACCTGTGCCGTTCAAAGTGCAGTGAAACCCTGAAATAAAAGTGAGAGGGTAAAACAGCAAAGGTGAATGAAGTCAGAAGAAAGGAAGAGGGAGGGGAGACGGGAGAAGAGCGACAGCGAGGAGGGAAGATGAGAAAAATGACACGGCAAAGTGACAGCAAGATGAAAACGGTCTGATGGGTGGAGACAGTTCGGAGATGAAAATGAGAAAAATGTCAAAACACAACACGATGACAGACAGTTGAGAAAAGGAGGGGGCGGGATGAGGCAAAAGGGCAGGAACAGAAATCCTGGTCTGGGAAATTAACAAATACTGATGGGTAATGATGACGAGGACGGTTGATGAGAGCAGTTGAAAAAGTGTGCCTGTAAAAATAATACTGCAATGATGTGGCGGGGCAAATGATGGACGTATGGAAGGATTGAGGAAGAAGTGGAATCAGGGAAGAAAGCAGGACTTGGTGGGGGAAGAGAGTAGCCGTAAGCGTGACAGAAAACTATGCAATAAAAAAGTGAAAAATGATGGATAAATAAGTAGATAGAAGGGGAGAACGGCAAAAAGGCAAGATGGGAAACAGCAACACTGCTATGATGACAAGATGAAAAATGGTGATTGGATGGATGACAGGTGGGGGAAAGAGCAGGGAAGACAGTGACTGTGGGAGAAAAGAGGAAAACAATGGCAAGAAGGATGAAAAATACAGACAAGAGAAAAAGGCAAAGAACAGGTGATGAGGAAAAAGAGAAGGAGAAGGAGGAGGTGACAGAAGGAATGCAAGAAAAATGCTGAAGACAGAAATGAGAGGAAGCACAACATGCTGACAGTCAGGCAAAAAAACACAAGAGATGGATGAGCAGAAAGGAAATTAGGGTAGAAAAAGAGAAGAAGACATGACTCAATGGAAATGGGAAGATAATGCGAAGCAGAGAGCGAGCCGCGGTAGGAGAGGAATGGCCTTGCACACTAAAGGTAGATAGCAGAAACTTATACTTGAGCTCAGTGTGAAATCTCCCCGGGTACTTTGTTAATATTCAGCAAACGGTCAGAGAAGTAAATTGTTTTGCTTCACACTGATCTGAGCTTCATTAATCCCAGAAGGAGCATCAGAAACACAAAGAGTGCAACACAATCGGGACTTTTAGTTTGGTGTGCTCA